CAGGTCATGTGGACACTCTGCGAGCGGGGTGCGGCCAGCGATAGCGGCCGAAGGGGAAGGATGCAAGGGTAACCTTAAGTCGGGCATGTCCCCCTACAGGGGGATTTTCGACGAAACAAATAAAAACAGGAACATACTCCAAAATGGTATAGAAAAATACTCAAAAATAGTCCCCAGACTATTTTCTGTCTATTTTTGAATATCCCCCCTTGGGAGGGACAGGCCCGGCTTCAGGGTAACCTTGGGAAGCCGCTCATCCTTCCTCTGCGGGCTGACAGCAGGGCGAGCATGATGGCATGGTAGGATTGGCCCAGGAGACATCCCAAGATTCCCACGAGGTACCGAGCGGCGCAGCCGGTGCGGGGCGCCAGGACAGCTGGGAACTCCCAGGAGCCCTGGGACATCCTGGAACGTGGCGTTATCGTGACCTCTTGCCCCCCTGAGTAGAGGCGGGAAAAGCAGGAGGGGCCCGGGACGGGGGGGGGTAGAGCCCACAACCCGTCCCAGGAGCAGGAGCAGGAGGAGGAGGAGGAGCAGGCGGCGGGGAGCCCCCTCTCCAGCGCCGTCGCCCCTTCTCCCCCCCCCTTCGGGTTCAGCCCCCCTCGTCTCCCCTCCGGCTCGCCCCCTCCTCCTGCTCCGCCTCCCCAAGGGCCTCCTCGCCTCGGGGGCGCTCGGCGAACTGCTGGGTGCTGGAGAGATATCGCTATCCTCCTCCTCCTCCTCCTCCTCCTCCTCCTCCTCCTCCTCCTCCATCCTCCTCCATCCTCCTCCTCCTCCTCCTCCTCCTCCTCCTCCTCCTTCTCCTTCTCCTCCTCCTGCATCCTCCCCTTCGCGTTTCCCAGCCATCATTTCATCGCTTCACTCATTCCGCCGGCCCATTTTGCATCACTGTGGCTGCGTGGTGGTGTGCTCGTGCCCAGGGGGAGGGCAAGACGATCTTCGAGGAGACCTTTGGAGATGTGGCTCGCACCCTGTCGAAGGGAGCCGTTAGACTGCCCTGGAGGGCGCCAAGATGGCTCGAGGGAGCTCCAGAAGAGTTTCGAGACGTGCCTGGGTTGTGGGTCAAAGTCCTCATGGATGCTTCTTGGGGTCCCTTCGGGGGGAGCCTTTGGGGAGCCTCTTGGGGGCTTCTCGGGGGCCTCTTGGGGCTTCCTGGGGGCCTGTTGGGAGTCTTGGGATCTTGGGGCCTCCTGGACGCCTCTTGGGGCCGAGGGCTCGAAATGTCCGTTCGGGTTCCCCGTCTGGCCCCCTCTTGGGGCCGTGTTGAGGATATCTTGGGCCGTCTTGGAGGCCTCTTGGGCCGTCTTGGGGCCATCCTGTGCCCTCTTGGGGCTCTCTTGGAGGCTTCTTGGGCCTTCTTGGGGCGGTATGTGGGGCCTGTTGGGCCGTCTTGGAGCGTCGGGAAGCAGAACAGAAGAGAACGCCAAAATCCTTCAAACATCGAAGGGAAACTGATGGTTTTTGCCTCCTGGAGCCCTCTTGAGATTCTTCGAGGCCTCTTTGGGCGTCTTGGGAGCGTCTGACGCCGTCTGGAAGCTATCTTGGGCGTCTTGGACCGATCGGTCGGCGACTCGGAGCCCTCTTAGATTGGACCGTCTTGGGGACTCTTGGGGCCCTCTAGGAGCGCTCGGGGGCGCCTTCAAGCCGCGCCCAGAAGGAAAAGCCATCTCTGGGTAGTACTGGCCGGGGTACTTTTCGTCCAGGGACCCCCAGGGGCCGCCCCGCGCGCGCGAACTAGACATATTGTTTACCCGCGTTTCCCAGCCATTATTGTTCTTCTTCTCCTCCTCCTCCTCCTCCTCCTCCTCCTCCTCCTCCTTCTCCTTCTTCTCCTTCTTCTCCTCCTCCTCCTCCGCCTCCTCCTCCTCGTCCTGGCCCTTCTACTACTACTTCTGCTCTCCCTCCTCATCCTCCTCTCCCTCTTCCTCCTCCTCCTCCTCCTCCGCGTTCAAGTTGAGCTTTTCAAACCTTGGACAATCTGCGAAAATCTTCGAGAACCTCCCGCGTTAGCGGGGGGCGCATCCGTCGAAAACCATCGAAATCCTCTGACAATGCCCGAAAGCCTCCCGCGATGGTGGGCGTCTTCGTCGGAAACCTTTGAAAAACCTCCGAGCAGCTTCCGAGAGCCTTCGAACAACCTCCCGCGATGGGGGGCGCCCCCGCCGAAAACTGACGAAAAACGACAAACAAAACTTCCGAAAGCCTGCGAAAAGACTCCCGCGATGAGGGGCGCCTCCGCCGAAAACCAAGCAAAGACCTCTGAAAATCTCTGGCAACTTCCAAAAACCTTTGAAAAGCCTCCCGCGATGGGGGGCGCCTCCGCCGAAAACCATCGAAAAGCCTCCGAATGTCTCCAGCAACTTCCGAGAGCCTCCGGAAGCCTCCTCCCTTCGGGGGCGCCTCCGCCGAAAACAATCGAAAAGCCTCCAAACACCTCTGGCAGCTTCCGAGAGCCTTCGAGAGCCTCCCCCGTCCGTCGATGGAGGGCGCCTCCGTCGACGGGCGGGAGGACACTGAGGAGGACAATGAGGGGAGAAGGAGGACAAGGAGGAGGGAGGGAGGAGAGAGGAGGAGGAGGAGGAGGAGGAGGAGGAGGAGGAGGTGGAGGAGGAGGAGGTGGAGGAGGAGGAGGAGGAGGAGGAGGAGGGAAGAGGAGGAGGAGAAGGAGGAGGAGGACGAGGAGGAGAGAGGATGAGAGAGGATGATCGAGGAGGAGGAAGAGGAGGAGGAGGTCGAGGAGGAGGAGGAAAAAGGAGGAAAAGGAGGAGGAGGAGGAGGGGGAGTCTTCGAAAGCCTCACCCTCCCGCCATGGAAGAAGCCGTTTTCGGGTTCGGCCGACCCGTTTCGGCTTCATCGGTCCCTTTCGTCTTCGTTCCGTTTCGTCCCGACCCATTTCGGCTTCGGCCCGTTTCGTCCTAGTTCGTTTCGGCTCTGGTCCGCTTCGTTCCAGCCCGTTTCGGCTTCGGTCTGTTTCGTCCCGGCCCGTTTCTGCTTTGGCCCGTTTCCGCCTTAAAACGACGCGAAGATCGGGACAAAATCGGATCGGGATAACTCGAAATCTCTGAGAATCGGCGGGTTTGGAGGATGTATTGGGCGCCGCGGCCGCTCCAGAGCGTTCCGGAACGCTCTGAGAGCGCTCCGGAACGCTCTGGATCGATTTATCCTGATCCTAGCCCTGTTTTACGTCTTCAGGTTCGCGCTCGCACCTGGGCCGTGAAGCCGAAGCGGGCCGAAGCCGAACCGGACTGAAGCCGAACCGGGCGGAGCCGAAACGGGCCGAAGCCGAAACGCGCCGAAGCCGAGACGGGCGGAGGCCGAAACGGGCTGAAGCCGAAAAGGGACCGAAGACGACACGGGCTGAGGACGAAACGGGCTGAAACCGAAAAGGGACCGAAGCCGACACGGGCATGAAGCCGAGTCGGGCCCGTGTCCTCGGGGAAGCCCCCGAGGCGAAGGAAGAGGGTCCCCCAGCCAGGGCTCTGACTGCCAGGGCCGCCACACGCGCCGCCGGTTCGCTGCAGGCCTCGCGCGAGCGCCGATGCCGAGGCGGGAGCCCCCTCCCGAAGGGCCACCAGGGCCTGGGCAGCATGCTCGTCCCTCCTTTCCCCCTCCTACTCCTCCTACTACTGGCCCATCCTCCTCCTCCTCTTCCTCCTGCTCCTCCTGCTCCACCTCCTCCCTCTCCTCCCCATCGCAGTCATCCCCCCCCTCTCTCCTCATCCCTCTCCTCCGCCTCCTCCCTCCCCTGCGACTCGTCCTCCCCCACCTCCGCCCCTCCGCCACGCCCCCCCTCCCTCTCCTCTTTTCCCTTTTTGTCGTTGGGGGGGGGGGGGGCCTTCTTCGTCCAGCAGTCCGTCCAGGGTCGCCTCGGAGTCGGTCCTCGAGATGGTGCTCCTGCGCGGCGGCACGGCGGTCCCGAGGTGGAGGAGGAGGGAAGGAGGGAAGGAGGCAAGAACGAGGATGAAGGGGACGAGGAGGACGCGGAGGAGGAGGAGGAGGAGGAGGAGGAGGAGGAGGAGAAGGAGAGAATGGAGGACAAGGGAGTAGGGAGGGAGGGAGGGGGAGGAGGAAGGAAGGAGGCGAGGAGGAGGAGGAGGAGGAGGAGGAGGAGGAGGAGGAGGAGGAGGAGGAGGAGGAGGAGGAGGAGGAGGAGCGACCGTACCTTCCCTCAGTCCCTCAGGCGTCTATGGCCTCAAGGCGTGCAGTGCAGTGGCGAGGCACTCTGTGCCTGCAGTGTACTTCAACGCGGCGCCAGGCGCGGCGAGGCTGCGAGCAATGCCGCAACGGGTGAAAAAGCAATGTCATCGTGATGATGATTCGTGCATGTGGGAAGCGGAAAAGCAGAGATGGGAGGAAGCACAGACGACAGAGGAACACAGGATGGGGCGTGCCAGGCGGGGGGGCACAAGGCTACATTGACGGACGGGGGCCTCAGACGCCACTCCGAGCGGCGAGACTGCACGATCATCATGCTGAGGCTCCACGGCGGTGCATACCAACTCGTCGGCAAGACCCTCAAGTGACGAGCTGCAGCATCGGAGCTGAATGAGGTCCGAGCGGCGCAGGTACTGGGCTCCAGGAACAGCCCAATCAGGGCGAGCAGCATCGGCGGCTCCACAGTCGGTGTCAGGACGATCTTGGTCGGGAAGGTCGCCACTCAGAGCGGCGTCGGAATCGCTATCGGAATGAGCAGCAGCAGCGGCTCCACAATCGGTGTCGGGACGGTCTTGTTCGGGCAGGTCGCCACTCCAAGCGGCGTCGGAATCGCTATCTTGAAGTAGCAACTGGCGGATGAACGTGTCGAAAGGAGGAGGAGGAGGAGGAGGAGGATGAGGAAGAGGAGGAGGAGAAGGAGAGGGAGGAGGAGGAGGAGGAGGAGGAGGAGGAGGAGGAGGAGGAGGAGGAGGAATATGTCCTCTGGAAGGCGGGGGAGAAGGAGTGGGCAGGGACAAGAGGCCCAGAACCTCGCCGCGGTGACCTTTGTCACCAGGACCCCCACCAGGCCTGCACCCGCCCGCCAAGACCAGCTTTTCGTCCCGTGTCGTTTTTGAAGGTCTGGGTGCCAGGCAAGGGGCCCGAGTGGCCGAAAACCATCAAAAGCCTTCCGTCGGAAAGTGGGGTCCGACGCCGCGTCGTCGTCGTCGTTGTCGCCGTCGCCGCCGCCGTCGTCCTCGTCGTCGTCGTCGCCGGCGCCGTCGTCGCCGTCGCCGTCGCCGCCGTCGTCGACCGTCGTCGTCGTCGTCGTCGTCGTCGTCGTCGTCGTCGTCGTCGTCGTCGTCGTCGATCGTCGTCGTCCGTCGTCCAAGTCGTCGTCGTCGTCGCCGTCGCCGTCGCCGCCGCTGCCGCCACCGTCTTCGTCGTCGTCGTCGCCGCCGCCGTCGCCGTCGTTTCGTCCTCGTCGTCGTCCTCGTCGTCGTCGTCGTCGTCGTCGTCGTCGTCGTCGTCGTCGTCGTCGTCCGTCGTCCGAGTCGTCGTCGTCGTCGTCGTCCGTCGTCCAAGTCGTCGTCGTCGTCGTCGTCGTCGTCGTCGTCGTCGTCGTCGTCGTCGTCGATCCTTCGTGGCCCCATGGGGGTCTGGTGACGATGCCCATGGGAGGAGCGGCGGCAGCCCCCTCCCAAGAAGCCCGAGCACCTCCCCCTGGGGAAGTTTTTCGCCCCCGGATCCATGGCTGGAGGCCCCCCATCCTCCTCCTCCTCCTTCTCCTCCTCCTCCTTCTCCTCCTCCTCCTCCTCCTCCTCCTCCTCCTCCTCCTCCTCCTCCTCCTCCCCCTCCCTCCCCCTCCCTCCCTCCCTCCCTCCCTCCCTCCCTCCCTCCCTCCCTCCCTCCTCCCTCCTCCCCCTCCCTCCCTCCCTCCCTCCCTCCTCCCCACCCTCCCTCCTCTCTCCTCCCTCCCTCCTCCTCCTCCTCCTCCTCGTGCTCTTCTTATTCTTCTTATTATTATTCTTCTTATTATTCTTCTTCTTTTTCTTCTTCTTATTCTTATTCTTCTTCTTCTTTTCGGATTATTCGTATTACCCGTCGTATTATTGATGCTATACGTGTTTATGGCTTGACATGTATACACACATATGGATGTGTGTTTATACATGCATGTTATGTATTTACGTCAGTATTACTATTCGCAGTATTCGCATGGTTGTTGTTAGTAGTAAACTTATTCATACTATTCGGAAGCTTGTGATTTGCTATGTTTGTCATTCGTTTTATCCTCGTTCTTATTAAGACCCTACTGTCGGGTTGGGGGAAGCAGCGCACGCCAGTCGGAAGAAGAATTTCAAAACGTGATAGGAAGGCGGAGAACATAGATTTGGGTTCAGGCCCTCCCAGGAAATAGCAAAACACAGCAGAAGCAGATCGACCCGTGAAGGCGATCTGGGAATCCAGAGCTACATGGTTTCAACGACCGGCGTGCACGGGTTCCGCACATCCCTGACTCCAGATCCGCCCTACTTTGGCTTTTTTCCAACTTAAAATTGCGTCGGAAATCCACCTATAAGAGGCCGAAAAAGTAGGGCGGAAATTTTTGCGCCAACATAAAATAAGGCGGAAATCCACAGAAGTAGGGCGGAAACAGCAACAGAAAAGCAGGGCGGAGATTGGCATCAGCGGGGCTTGAAAAGTCAGGCGGAAATTCCAAGCTCCACTTACGAATTTCCCCAAAGTAGGGCGGATCCGGAGTCGGGGATGTTTTTTCAATGCTCCTCGACGCCCCGCCACCCACCCACCCGCCCCCGGGAGTGGGGGGTCAAGGGGGGCCTTCGGGTGGGGTTGGGGTGTCCTCCTCCTCCTCCTCCTCCTCCTCCGCCTCCTCCTCATTCTCCTCCTCCTCCTCCTCCTCCTCCTCCTCCTCCTCCTCCTCCTCCTCCTCGGTGAGCGGAGAATGGCTGGAGGCCCCCCGTGGCCCTGAGAGCGGGGCCCCCGAGGACCGAGATCGAGCAGAAGCGCCGGGAGTGCAGCACCACCACGGGTCCCAAAGTTCGGGGCCCGAGGGAAGGGCACCTCGAACTGACATGCCGAGCCCTCCGCCTGGCACGATGGTCGTCACGTTGATCCGCGGCGTTGAGATCCAGGGACTTGTGTCTTGGCACGATGGAAGGCTCTCGGACGGCTGCCTTCCAAGGGGCCACTTCCCGCAATGAGAACACTTGTTCAGGACCTGTGAAAAGGGAACTTGGAAGGATGGTTTACTGCAACATCGCTGATGCATCCCTGGGTCTGCACTGGTCCTTCTCCTCTCTCCCCCCGCTCCCCCCTCTCTCCTCCCCCATCCTTCCGTCTTGTCCTTCTTCTCCCCCCTCCTCCTCGTGCGGCGAGCACGGTCTGTCGCGCGGCCGCACACCTTGAGCTCCGCCGAGATGGCGGCGACCAGGTTGCCGCCCTCCTCCTCGTCCTCCCCCTCGTCCTCCCGCCCGCAGGTGCCCTGGAGGCGGCTCGCGCCCGCACTCCCCGCCGCGCCGCCGCCGTCCTCCGGTGGTGCGCGGCGTCCACGAAGATGTCCGCCTGGGGCGGCGGGCGGGCGCGCAGCCGACCACCGCGCTGCTGCCGACCACCGCTTGCTGCTGCTGCTGCTGCTGCTGCTGCTGCTGCTGCTGCTGCACGCCAGCCTCACCGAGGCGCCATCGCCTTCCTCCAGCTCCAGCTTCAGCTCCCGCCTTTGCTTCAACCCCGCCTCTGCCTCATCTTCCCCCTCCTCCTCCTCCTCCTCCTCCTCCTCCTCCTTCCCCCGTCTGGCTCAAGCCGCTGTGTTTTTTTTGAGCGTGCTGGTAGAAGCGTTTCGACTGGACAGGCCAGTGACACTGTCAGGCTCAGCAGAACGTGTCCGCAGCCAAATCCTTTACTGTCTGCAATGAATGCGGCAACTGGATGTACAACTGGAGGCTGGACAGGCAGGGCGGAAAGTGCAAGTGCGGCAGCTGGCTGGAACCCTTCACGCACAAGCCGCCGTGGCGCAGCCGCAACCACCACGGAGGAGGGAGTCACTAGCGGCTCAGCCTCGGGGTGGTTGGGGACCAAGCCTGGCGAGAATCCGCTCGAGTACGTGCATGCCCTCGCGGAGAAGCACAACCCCCCAAAGTTGGGCAGGCGATGCGCGAGGCCGCTGACAAGGCCGCGCCAGCACCGCCCCCGCCAGCGGAGCAGCCCAAGGACCCGTGGCAGGAACTCGCCCAGGCCAAGGTGGCGCAGCAGCGCAAGGCCAAGGAGCTGCTCAAGGCCGAGAAAAACCTGAAGGCCAAGGAGCAGGCTCGACAGCGAGCCACAGCGCTGCGGGACCAGCTCCTGGAGGAGGCCTACGAGGCCAACCTGCCCGCGAGCGGGCTTCGGAGGCCTACTACATGGCCACCACCTGCCTCGGCCAGAAGGCAGCCGCCGCGGAGCCATCATCGTCAGTCCTCCACTTCGAGGTGGACCAGCAGCTGCTGCAGGACCTCGACGACTACGAGGACGGCGCAGTCAAGGAGGAGGTCGTGGCATTCCGCGCCACGCTCAAGGAGGTCCAGGCAGGCGGGGAAGCAAGCCCTGCAAGCGCACCGCGAGTCGTTGGCTCGCCATGCTGAGGAGACCCAGCGGCTCCACGAGAAGGCGGCGAACCAGCAGGCGGCGCAGCTGGACCAGATGGGGAGGCTGCGCAAGACCCTCGCAACCCTCAAGAAGAGGAAGCTGGGCGACGAGGCGGCCCCGCAGGCGACCAGCCAGGAGGAGTCAGTGCCCGCGCCGCCGCCGCAGCAGGAGCCCGCTGCTCCAGAGCCGACTGCGGAGGAGCGCCAGGCCAAAGCCGAGGGCACCGACAACCTCGGGCGCGCCACCCAGCTGGAGGTCAACGCCAAGAAGCTGGCGGCCACCAAAGGTGCTGCCAAGGGCCAGGCAAGTCGGCCGTCGGTGCTGAAGCTGCTGACGGCGCTGCTGCTCGGGGCGATGCTGCTCCTTCCCCATGGGGCCCCCTGCTCGCGCAAGCCTGGGCAACGCTCCTAATGCAGCCAAATCTGTCGACGACAGCACATGCAACCTCCTCTTCGGCAACGCCACCGAATGGGGGGACAAGGTCATGAAGTTCAGCAGGATTCTCCACAGGAGAGTCCACGGCTTCCTCGTCGCAGAGACGCACGCGACAAGATGGACCACTGGAATGGCCAACTTCAGAAGGACGGGTGGAAGATGACTGCCGCCCCAGCGGAACCATCAATGAAGTCCGAGAAAGGCAAGATACGAGGAGAAAGGTCACTTGTGCGGCCCCACCTGGCGACGACCTCCCACGAGGCGCAGCGCGCGGCTGCCCCATGCGTCGGCTTGAACTTCAGCCCGGTGACGCGCCTGCGCTCGGGCAGCTTCACCACCGTGGCGGCCTCCTTCGTCCCAGGCGCCCCCCATCACCACGGGCATCAACTCGGCCCACTTCAAGGCGCCCACGAGCTTCCTGAATGCCCTGGCGGACCCGTGGCTGACCATGGCAGACTGGATTGTACCCCGCAGCAAGTTGGAGGCCCCGGGCTGGGCGGACCTCGAGGACGGCGCGGTACTGCTGCCGTCTGGATGTGCCCGAACACGCGACAAGGGCAAGGGCAGCATGATCGACTACGGCATCGCATCCAGGAAGGCCGCGCATCGCATCCAGCTGGAAGCTCATTGCGAGGCCCCCAGGGCGACCCATTCTGGTGTTTTCTTGTCAAGATCAGAGTCAGATGTGCAGCCGAGCCCTGGGAGTACTTGAAGATGCTCATACCGCAGGCCCTGCCTACCCCGCAGGGGCCCAATACGGCGCCCGACCCCGAGAGCAAAAGGACACGGCGCAGGGCGGCAACAGAGCGGGGGGAGAAGCAGTCGCAGGAGCAGCAGCCATCAGCGGCTTCAGCTCCCGCGCGCGCGACTTCGGGGTGGACGGCGAGGCCCCCCCCCCCGTGCCACGCAGGCTGTCACATCGGAGCTCCCACAGGGTGGCAGCCCTCCTGCGCAAGCGGCTGGGTCTCGAGGGGGGCCCGCGCCTCGGGGCGCCACGGCTGCGACGGCCGCTGCAAGGGCTGGAGCAGGGGGGCCGCTTGCACCACCAGAGCTGCGCGCAGGTGATCGACGCGGACCTACGCTGGAGGTGCCGCGGTGCACGGGGGTGGCTCGTTCAATGGATGTGGAGACCACGGCGTAGTGGGGAGTCGCGGGGACGGCCATCACAGCGCGCGCGATTCGGAGCTGAAGCTGGATCGAGCCGACCGGGGCGGTGAAGAACACGGAGCAGTGGAGAGTCGCGGGGACTAGCATCACAGTGCACGCGGCTCGGAGCTGAAGCTGGCTCGCGAGTGCGGCGGGGGCCTCGTGGGCCCCCCCCCCGCTGGGCACCGACGTGGACGGGGACTGCGCTCCGCCGGAGCAGGAAGCTGCCCCATCGCTTGCGGAGGAGGCTGCGCCATCTTCGGGATCTGCGCGCACGGCTTCGAAGCTGCGCGAAGGTGGTCTGCGTGCTGCTGGAGGCGCTGGAGGCACATGGGCACTTGAGCGTGCGCAAGTGGCAGGGACTGGCAGTTCGCGACCGAGCCAGGCTATATGGAATCGTAGATTACTAATTTAAAATGATGTGGCTGAAGATCCGAGCGCGAGGCCCTCCTCGCCGCGCGGCGTGGCCCGCGGGCGCCTCGCGGCCCCCGCGCCGGGCATTGACGTGGACGAGGACCGCGACCCGTGGAGAGTTGGAGCGCAAAGTCCCGAGGAAGCCCCCGTAGGGGGGAACGCCCCAGGCTCAGCGTCGCCACGCGAAGCTGGAAGTCTTGAGGAAGCCCCCGTGGAGGGAACACCTCAGGCGCGCAGCAGCCACGCACTGGGCGCAGGACGGAGGCGACGCCATCGTCGGGATCGGCCTCTGCCTGCACGGCTTCGAGGCACACGGCGAGGCACCGCCCTCAAAGGGGCAGAGCCGCAGCTGCCCCCAGAGCTGCGCGAAGGCGACCCACGTGGCCCTGGAGACGCTGGAGGTGCCGAGGCGCATGGAGGTGCGCATATGGCGGGGGCTGGCAGTTCGCGACCGAGCCAGGGATCTATATGGAACCGCAGACTGCCAGCTCCAGCTGACGCGGCCGAAGGTCCGAGCGCGAGGCCCCCCTCGCCGCGCAGCGAGGCCCGCGGGCGCCTCGCGGCCCCCCCCCCGCGCGGCACCAGCGTGGACGGCGGGCGCGGCCCGTTCGACGACATGGGCGGCGAGCCCGACCTCCTCGAGACGCTCGAGGAGAACGGCGACGGCCTGGGCGGCATGGGCGCGGAGCGGCGGCGAGGCCAGGGCGCACGGCCAGGGGGCAGCTCAGGGAGCACCCAGCGGCCCCGCCCCCATGGCAGGCACGGCCCGCCGACCGCCCCGATGGAGGAGGAGGACGAGTGCCAGACCCTGTCGCGGCCAGCTGCTCTTGAGGCTAGCCGGGTCAGCGACGACCCGCAGGAGCAGGAGGACGAGCAGGAGAGCGCAGCCTTCGCCATCCCAGGGGGAGTGGACGCGAGCGCGGGGATGCAGCACTGCCAGCGCGACCGCGCCAAGCCCGCCGACCGCCCAAAGCCGGCCTGCCCTCCGCGCTGACCGCGAGGCCTGCCTGGCCTTGTCACAGAGGAACGCCGGGTGGGTCACCGTGCTCCAGGAGGCCAAAAGGGCTAAAGGGGCCGCAAGCTGAAGCAGACTGGGGCCGAGCTCAAGGTGCGCAGTGTGTCGCCTAGCGGGCCAGGGCGACCGTCGGGCGCGCTCACTTTGCCAACAAAATTGCTGAATGGTGGGCCATTGTCGGCGGCCACGGGGCGAACATACGCGCTGGCCAAGAGCGGGGCCGACCCCGCGCAAGCCAAGCGCAGCCGTGACACTGCGGTCGCCAAGGCCGAGGACAACGGCACCTACGCCGACGCGAGTCTCGCCAAGACCATGGAGTACTTGGGCAGGGGGTGCGTCCTCGAGGAAGTGACTCGACTCGCTGGCGCCTGCTGCTGCAGCAGATCCACGACCTGAGCGTCGAGGACCTCGAGCAGTTCAATGGCGCCGCGGCCTGCTGGGCGGCGCGCGCGGCAGGTGGGGCGCAAGCCCAAGCAGGGCGCCAGTGCGCCAAGTGGGTCAGCACCACCTGGAAGGCGGCGCAGGGGCTCGTTCACAAGCAGGTCAAAGGCGACGTGCCAGCGGCCCCCAAGACCGCCCTGCCTGGCGAGACGGTGGTCGACCCAATGATGCAGATGAAGCTGCGCGAAGCCGTATGGGAAGCAATTTGGCGATCACCCTCCTTCGACGAGGAGAAACTCGAGCGCCGGCTCCAGCGCGCGGCAGCCCGAGCGCGGGAGGAGGAGGAGCTGGAGGAGCACACCGTGCAGAGCGTGAGGCAAGTGCTGCTGGCCACCCCCGCCAGGAAAGCGATGGGCGTGGACGCTTTGCGCAGCTCGGATGTCTCCCGTCTTCCTGATGTGGCAGTGCAGGAGTGGGTCGACATGATGGATCAGGTTGAGCAAGACCTGGCGTGGCCAGGGCAGGTGCTCACTACCATCCTGGCTCTGCT